CACGCTGCCCACTTTGCCCCCACCCCAGCTCTCAGCCGTGCCCCACACCTCCCCACCACCCTCCCCAGGGCAACCAGTTGCCCCCAGCGTGGTCCTTGGCCCCAGCCATGTGTCCCTGCATGGGGCACCATATGCTTTTGGACGGGCAGCAGTGGGGAGCCCAGGTGAGCCGTACCCGTATGTCCTTTGCACAGCCGGGGTCCCCGGCCCCCCCAGCGCCGATGGCCGCTTGCTGGCTGCCACCTCCCAGGTTACTGCTTAACTTTTCCCACACAAGCAGGCGTCACTGCTCTCCTTGACCTTGGGCGAAGGTGGCACAGGGAGGAAGGCAGCCCTGCCTCGGGGTTTCCCCCTGGCCTGGCCTGTGCAGGGTGCCGGGGAGCCGTGTGGGACCCTCCGGCTCAGCCCTGGCATCAGGGCAGGGCAGCGGAGGACATGGATGCACCCTCCCTAAAAAAGGAAAAAATAATAAAAAACAGGGACTAGCAAGTTTCTCACAGCCCTGGGGCTGACGTGGGGAGGGAGGTTTGGGAGATTCGTGGGCATCCTTGGGCTTTCCAGCTCAGACCTCAATCCCAAAGTGTAGCCTCTGGTTCCCTGCCAGGTCCCGGGGGCAGGGGACACACGCGGAGCCAGGCACCAGGGACCCTGCATGGAACGGGGCTGGCTGCCCTGGGTGCTCCTCTCCCCCAAAATCGGTGTGTGCTCAGCTCCCGCGGCTGCGTGTGGGCAGGATCCGGCCAGGCATCCGTGGGATCCCTCACAGATGGAAGGATATGCTTCTGCAGGGTCTTGCTGCCCTTTGGCTCAGGGCGTTCCGCTGACGTTGCTCGAGCTCAGTGCATGTCAGGAGTGAGGGTGTTGACACCTCAGCCCAGACAACACCTCAGCCCGGAGTATCACCACGCCACGGGCTCACCGGGGCCACCCTACCCCCACCTGCCCAACCACAAGCTCCCCCAATGGCACAGGTATCCTACAGCCCCCGCCAAGCCCAGCCCTGTCGGGGGGAAGGATGGCAAGGTGACATCCCTCGGTGCAGATGTTCAACCCAAGACCTGCCCCTGCTCCGAAGACATGGGCCCATCCTGCCCCCACCCCCCGCTGCATCGGCCCTGTTTTACGAGTCTGTTTTCTCCCACATCCCTTTTTCCTCCCCCATCACTGCCAGATCTGCCCTCGCCCCAGCATTACCTGCAGCCGCAGGCTCCTTGCCCTGCACGTTT